TTGTTATTTTTTATTATTATTAATAATAATAATAATAATAATAATTATTATTATTATTATTATTATTATTATTATTATTATTATAACCCATCTAACTGGGTTGTCCACTGTGCTCGGAAACATACTGGGAGCCAGCACAGATCCTTTAGGATGGGTTTTATACAGTCCTGGCGGCCACTCCCAGTCACCAGTCTGGCTGCCGCCTTCTTGGTCACCTTCCAAGGTAGCCTTGTGGAGATCGCATGGCAGTAGTCCAAGCTGGAGATAACCAGAGCATGGACCACCCTAGCAAGACAGTGTACAGACAGGGAGGGCCTCAGATGGAGCTGGCAGACAGCAGCCCTGGACGCAGAATTAACCTGTGCCTCCATGGACAGCGGTGAGTCCAAAATGACCTCCAGGCTGTGTATCTGGTCCTTCAGGGGCACAGTTACCCCATAGAGGACCAGGGAGTCCCCCATACCCAACTGCCTCCTGTGCCCCCAGAAACAGAACTTCTGTCTTGTCAGGTTTCAACCTCAACCCGCTGACCGTAAACCACTGCAAATCCTGTGTGCCATTGTACAGTGGTGGTTGTTGTTTAGTTGTTTAGTCGTGTCCGACTCTTCGTGACCCCATGGACCAGAGCACGCCAGGCCCTCCTGTCTTCCACTGCCTCATTGTACAGTGGTAGCTCAGGTTAAGAACTTAATTTTTTTTGGAGGTCCATTCTTAACCTGAAACTGTTCTTAACCTGAGCACCACTTTAGCTAATGGGGCCTCCTGCTGCTGCTGTGCTGCCGGAGCACGATTTCTGTTCTCATCCTGAAGCAAAGTTCTTAACCTGAAGCACTATTTCTGGGTTAGCGGAGTGTGTAACCTGAAGTGTCTGTAACCCGAGGTACCACTGTAATGGATTGTTTGAAGTCATTTCTGCAACAGGGAAATAAAATTTTAGCCTCCCCATTCCCCACCCTGACCTGTCCAGTATTTTGCCCGACCAAAGGGGGCGACAAGGGTCATCAAGTCCAACCCTCTGCAATGCGGGAATCTTTTGCCCATTGTGGGGGTCGAAGCCACGGCCCCGCCGACTGCTCTGTCCCGGAAGGCTTGAGAGCAGCCTGGTGTCAGAGGCTTCATCTCGTAGCTACATTTGCACAGCAAGCCCCCGGCACAAACACAGAGCGACCATCTGCCTGCTTTTAAGTCACGCCTCTTGACGGCTGAGCTTCCTGCCGCAACTTCCTTCCCCCCAAATGACATACGAGCGCCTTCTGATTCTTCAAGAGCCTTCCGGGATCAGAACACATGGATGCCATAAATTGCAAAATCTATCAAGCATGTAGAAGAGAGACTCCCCAGAGGGAACCTTTTCCAGTGTATAGGACCTTTTAGCTTAGAGAAAAGGCAAAGAAGAAGAGACATGATGCTAGGAATGTATGAAATTAGTCATGGCATGGAGAAAAAAAGCAGAGACATCGCCTTGCCGACAAAGGTCCGTATAGTTAAAGCTCTGGTTTTCCCAGTAGTGATGTATGGAAGTGAGAGCTGGACCATAAAGAAGGCTGATCGCCAAAGAATGGATGCTTTTGAATTCTGGTGCTGGAGGAGACTCTTGAGAGTCCCATGGACTGCAAGAAGATCCAACCTCTCCATTCTGAAGGAAATCAGCCCTGAGTGCTCACTGGAAGGACAGATCCTGAAGCTGAGGCTCCAAGACTTTGGCCACCTCATGAGAAGAGAAGACTCCCTGGAAAAGACCCTGATGTTGGGAAAGATGGAGGGTGCAAGGAGAAGGGGACGACAGAGGACGAGATGGTTGGACAGTGTTCTCGAAGAGACCAGCATGAGTTTGACCAAACTGCGGGAGGCAGTGGAAGACAGGAGTGCCTGGCGTGCTCTGGTCCAGGGGGTCACGAAGAGGCGGACACGACTGAACAACAGCAACAACAACAATGGAAAAAGCAGATAGGGAAAAGTTGTCCTCCCTCTCTCCCCACACTTGAAATGAAGGTTGGAAGATGCAGGACAGACCGAAGAAAGGACTTTTTCATGCAGTTAACTTCCAAAAAAATATAAAACAATAAAATAACCAAGTCACCATTCCGGCAGCCGCATTTTGGATTATTTGTAGTTTCCAAGGTGTTTTGTATTCAGTGGTCTGTGTTTGCCTGAGCTTGAGTCTGGCCTAAGGATTGTGAGCTCCTGTGTTCTGATTCAATGCATGTTGTCCAATCACAGAACATTTCGGGATTTGGGCCTCTGCCATTGGCCCTTGAACTCTGAGTCGTGATTTGCAGCTTGGAAGTTTGGACAGCTAATCACGTTGGGAGGGGGAGTGGCCCAGACTTTCAGAAATGTATATAAGCTGTTGCTTTGCCGGTTTCCCAGTTATGTAGTTCAGTAAAGGTTCTTGCTGTTATCGCTGTGTCTTGCCTTGTGGGACCCCACCTACACTTCAAAAGTCACCTTCAAAGGTAGCCCCACTGAGAGCTCATGACAGTAGTCCAAGCTGGAGATAACCAGAGCATGGACCACTCTGGTGAGACAGTCTGCAGGCAGGCAGGGTCTCAGATGGAGCTGGCAGACAGCCGCCCTGGATGCAGAATTGACCTGCACCTCCATGGACAGCAGTGAGTCCAAAATGACCCTAATAATAATAATAACACGTGCTAGAATAAGCTAGGATTCTTTTTGCACAAAAATGGAAGGAAGAAGTTGTTCCCACCAAAGAAGAAGTAAAATGATTCACTACGTGGAATTGGCAAAGCCAAAAGCAAAACTGGAAGCCTTTTTCAGAATATTTAAATAAATGTCATAGTATGATGAATTCGCCCGCGGGATTTGAACTACGGGGGACAGAAGGAATTAGAGAATATTGTATGACTGTAAAGTTATAAGAGAGAGAAGACAGGGTGCAGCAAGGGGGAGAAATGAACAACATCATGGAAAATGGGGTGGGAAGTTGCCAAAGCAAAAGAAAAATCTATTATGCATTGCAATGGGTATGTGAATTTTTGGGAAATGTAATAAAAAATTTTTTTTAAGGATTTTGGTTTTTTTCTTGGTTTTTTTCTTTTAAAGATGGCTCTGTCACCAAGAAAAATGTATTATGTTTTGGAGTACATAGAGTTTGCGGCTGCCACTTCTATTGCAAGTGTCAATGGAAGATGTAATCCATGTACTCCCTGAATGCCCTTTTTATAACGATCTTAGAAGCAAAGACCCTTTTTTCTGTTGTCTGATGTAGAGAAGTCTATCTCTTCTAGAACATCCACATTTCTCACTCATGCTCTACAAATTCGTGTAACGAAAAGGGGGTGTGGGAAATGATTTATCCTCTAAAAGTCAGGGAGCAGAAATGTAAACCGCTGTTAGCAGCAGAATTATTGTTATTATTATTTTTACGTGTGAAGTGGCTGTTTGGTAGAACACAATAAACCGAACCAAACTGCACTGAACTACGTGTGTAATTTTGTTGTTGAAATTTAATTTAAATTTTTTTTAAATAAAATAAATTTAATCATATATTTAAGGAATATATAAGATTATATTGTAAAAACAATACCATCTTAGCAGAACTTGAATGATACTTGTGAACAAAAATGAATGAAACGAATACTTTAGTGGATTGTATGAAAAAGGATGTAAAGTAAAGCTGCGCAACAAAACCATGACAACTGAAACAATATAATGAAAACGACTGGAAGTTTTATGCAGGAATTTTTATTTGATAGATATGATTTTGTATACATTTTTTGTTTTATTTTTATTTTCCTTTTTCTTCTTTTTAAATTTTTTCTTACTTTTATGTCTTGACGTTCTCTTCTTTTTTATTTAACTTTTCTGTACTTACCTTCATTGTATGTTTGTATTTTAAATCAATAAAGATTTACCATGGGGGGGGGGAAAGAAATTTAATAAAACACAATACAGTGGTACCTCTGGATGCGAACGGGATCCGTTCCGGAGCCCCATTTGCATCCTGAAGCGAATGCAATCTGCGTCTGCACGGGTCACGATTTGCCGCTTCCGCGCATGTGCGTGACGCCATTTTGAGCGTCTGCGCATGCGCAAGTGGCAAAACCCGGAAGTAACGCGCTCCGTTACTTCCGGGTCACCGTGGAGCGTAACCTGAAAACGCTCAACTGGAAGCACATTTAACCCGATGTATGACTGTACACAATAGTAATAATATATATATCCTTTATTAGGTATAGCAAATCACACATTATCAAACAGACACCGTATACAAATTGTGCAAAATATGAGCTCAACATAACAAGGTTTGACCAAGTCAGATCTTTAACTCCAGAGAAAATCAATTTGCATAAATAATACAACCACTAAATGTCTTTATAATTGCCCAGTCTTTCTACGTGGACAGCACTCAAAAATTCAGCCACTATTAAAGTAATTTGATCATTCCTGTCCAAGAGCAGGTCCTGAACAACTGGTAGCATAGAAGTCAGCCTGTTGAGTTGTAAGGCCTCTAATAATTGTCTTCTGGCATAAATGCCAAAATCACAAGAAAAGAAAATATGCTCCAAAGTATCAGGTTCCTGGGACGCGGTTGGCGCTGCGGGTTAAACCACAGAGCCTAGGGCTTGCCGATCAGAAGGTCGGCGGTTCGAATCCCTGTGACAGGGTGAGCTCCCGTTGCTCGGTCCCTGCTCCTGCCAACCTAGCAGTTCGAAAGCACCTCAAAGTGCAAGTAGATAAATAGGTACCGCTCTGGTGGGAAGGTAAACGGCGTTCCCGTGCGCTGCTCTGGTTCGCCAGAAGCGGCTTAGTCATGCTGGCCACATGACCCGGAAGCTGTACGCCGGCTCCCTCGGCCAGTAAAGCGAGATGAGCGCCACAACCCCAGAGTCGGCCACGACTGGACCTGATGGTCAGGGGTCCCTTTACCTTTATCAGGTTCCTGTTTGCTACATTTGCAGAGACGCTCTGATTCTGGGAGAGCTAAATATCTTCCTCTTAAATAGTAATAATAATGCCTGCCTGCTCCTGTTTCCCAGGTGTTTCCCTGAGCATCCTATGACCACCGCTTGGGCAGCCCTTGGACCTGCCGTGCGATGCCCAACCCGGCTGCCCACCTGCCCTTTTACTATGGCAGCATCTCCCGCTCGGACGCCGAAGAGCATCTCAAGCTGGGTGGAATGATGGACGGCCTTTTCCTATTGCGGCAGTGCCTTCGCAACCTGGGCGGCTACGTGCTGTCGGTCACCCACAACCTCCGGTTCCACCACTACCCCATCGAGCGGCTGATGAACGGCACCTTTGCCATCGCGGGCGGCAAGGCGCATTGCGGCCCCGAGGAGCTCTGCGAGTTCTACTCCAAGGACGCTGATGGGCTCTGCTGCCCGCTCAAGAGGCCATGCAACCGTCCCGGTGGCCTCGAACCCCAGCCGGGCATCTTCGACTCCATCCGAGAGAACATGGTGCGGGAATATATCCGGCAGACGTGGCAGCTGGAGGTACGGGCAGGATCGGGGCTTTTCCTGTGGTTGGGGGGCAGCAGAGGGGAAACATTGCAGCCAGCAGAATATGGAGCGGCACCCAAGATTAAGGGCAAAATGTCAAAAAAAGCAGCAACATTTTTGAAATTTGATTTTTATTCATTTTCAAATTTATAACACATCCAAATTGAATTAAAGGTGATTTAACCCCCCCCCCCAAAAAAAACTGGTTTCCCACTATCTCAGGTATATTCCAATTCATACCCTTTTACATGCTACTTATTTTACAGATTTATTTCTGCTTCACATCCATTTTGTTAAGCAAAATTCTCGTCCCTCAGCTGTCCCTTTACAGACTCCTGCATAAGGATTAAACACAATTACATCAAATAAAAACAAGTGAGCGGTTATAGTAATTTAAACATTTCGTTTTTCTTTCCAACTTGGTGTAGATTCATTCTCTTATCCCTGATAGTTTTCAGCCTCTGCCTGTTTGCGCAAACCCTTTTCCTTTCCATAGGCAAACCAGATTATCTCCTTTCAATGTTCAGTCTTCGTTATTGAGTTAAAGGTAAAGGGACCCCTGACCATTAAGTCCAGTCGTGACCGACTCTGGGGTTGCGGCGCTCATCTCGCTTTATTGGCTGAGGGAGCCGGAGTACAGCTTCCAGGTCATGTGGCCAGCAGGACTAAGCAGCTTCTGGCGAACCAGAGCAGTGCATGGAAACGCTGTTTACCTTCCCGCCAGATCCACCTATTTATCTACTTGCACTTTGATGTGCTTTCAAACTGCTAGGTTGGCAGGAGCAGGGACGAGCAACGGGAGCTCACCGGGATTCGAACCGCCGACCTTCTGATCGGCAAGCCCTAGGCTCAGTGGTTTAGACCACAGCACCACTCACGTCCCATGAGTTACAGCCTCTCGAATCCATTATTTGCATTACATTGGAGATAAAGCTTTTACAACGCCCTTCGTTTCCTATTGGAGGGTATCACAAGGCAGGACTGGGAGATATCTGGTTTCCAACGTCATGATAAATTACCAGCTACACATCGTGATATACTGATATATCACGATGTCTGAAATAAGGATGGACCTGTGTAGAGGCATTAGCTGGCTTCACAGTTTTCCCCACATCAATATTTTTGCATAGCACATGTACACACACATACACACAAACCTGTGATTAGCAGTATATTGCCAGGTCAAAAATTATGAAACTCTACAATTCAATGCCACTAGATAGTCATTTACACTTACATTTCCAGCACGCCCTTTCCTTTGAGGTAACCCCACTGCCCTCCAGGAGACCATACCACCCAATTTGAGAACCCCTAGTTTAGAACAACGTAGAATTACAGAAGCAGTTCCTTCCATCTCCAACATCCAGGCATTGAGTGCTGCTCTTATAGTAGGAACCAACCGGGGTTAAATGGGAGGCTGATAATTTCCCCCACCAGGCACAGCTCGTCTCGGAGGTTTAAATAATTCCCAGAAAGGCAATAGAGTCTCTGTTCTCTCCTCTTCCTTCTTCGTAGGGGGACACCCTCAAACAGGCCATCATCAGCCAGGCCCCCCAGGTGGAGAAGCTCCTGGCCACCACAGCCCACGAGAAGATGCCCTGGTACCACGGCTCCATCACTCGAGCGCAAGCGGAAAGCAGACTCTACTCAGGCTCACAGCCTGATGGGAAATTCTTGTAAGCACGTTATCAGGGCAAAGCTTCTTGTTGTCTTCTTCTTCTTCTTCTTCTTCTTCTTCTTCTTCTTCTTCTTCTTCTTCCTCTTCTTCATCCAAATCATTTTTATTGTTTTTCCAAATTTTAATGAATCAACCACAAATTAAAACACACTCAGTAAATCTTCCCCCAAAATGGCTTCTTGCACTCTGTCCTCAATGCATCCATAATTTCTTCTCGTTGCTGCATTGTTTCCCCAACCTGTCTGTCGTTTTTCTGCGTTGCTGCCATTATGCAGTTGGGGCACCCACCTGCCTCGCTTTGCAGATTTGGGGCATCTGTCAACCAGGGTGAAGGAGTTGGAATGGCCGAGTCCAGGAACTGCCGTCCTAATGTCCCACAAGAGGGGTAAGGAGCCCCCAGTCTCCTCATTTGGCCTGCGAGGCCATTTCAGCCAAGCCCACCTCCCTGTAAGGATGTCAGAAAGCATCTACTTCCATTCCGACCCAGCGTTGCCAATGTTGGCTCTGCTGCAGTTCAGTTTCTGCCCAGTACTAACAGACCCTCCAAGTGTCCCTATTTTCCAGGGACAGACCCAGATTTACAGAAGCCATTCCGGTTTCTGATTTGATCCCAGAATATCCCGCTTTTCCTTAGGACGTCCCTATTTTCATTGCAAAAATGTTGGAGGGTATTAGTTATGAGACCTCCCAAGCCAAGGAGATAAGTAATTAGGCAACCGCTAGAAGACATCTGAAGGAAGTTTTTTTCATGCTCAATGTTTTATTATGTTTTTATATATGTTGGAAGCTACTCACAGTTTGCTTTGCTTTCAGAACCGCTTACGGTTCTTGTTAATTGCTACCTGTAACTAATGGAGCCAATTGGGTTGGACTAAATGACTCTTAAGTGATGCGGGTGGCACTGTGGGTTAAACCACCGAGCCTAGGGCTTGCCGATCAGAAGGTCAGTGGTTCGAATCCCCGCGACGGGGTGAGCTCTTGTTGCAGCACATCAAAGTGCAAGTAGATCAATAGGTACCACTCTGGTGAGAAGGTAAATGGCATTTCTGTGTGCTGCTCTGGTTCACCAGAAGCGGTTTAGTCATGCTGGCCACATGACCCAGAAGCGGTACACCGGCTCCCTCGGCCTGTAAACTGTTAGGTCCAGTCGCAGACGACTCTGGAGTTGCGGTGCTCATCTTGCTTTGTTGGCCAAGGGAGCCGGTGTACAGCTTCTGGGTCATGTGGCCAGCATAACGAAGCCGCTTCTGGCAAACCGGAGCAGCGCACGGAAACGTCGTTTACCTTTCCGACAGAGTGGTACCTATTTATCTACTTGCTCTTTGATGTGCTTTCAAACTGCTAGGTTGGCAGGAGCAGGGACTGAGCAATGGGAGTTCACCCCGTCGCAGGGATTCGAACCGCCGACCTTTTGATCGGCAAGCCCAAGGCTCTGTGGTTTAGACCACAGTGCCACCTGCCCATAAAAAGACACACATTCGTGCAAATATCATACAAAATTGCACTATCTCAGGGGACGCTGCTTTGCATAGGGAAGCTGAGATTGGAAAAATGAGAAAGAGAAAATGGACACATTCGCCAGCCCCTTGGATAAAAACCAGGTCCTCCTTAGTAGGAACAGAGCTGATCCTTCCATGCCGTTTCCCTCCAGGCTGAGAGAGAAAAAGGAGAAAGGCTCTTACGCTCTGTCCCTCGTCTACGGAAAGACGGTTTATCACTACCGGATCGGACAGGACAAAGCAGGGAAATATTCGGTGGAAGACGGAACCAAGTTTGATACGCTGTGGCAGGTGGGTTGTGTGAGTGCGTGGGGCTGGAGACCCCTCCTCCTTCTCGGATTGCCTGCATTGCAATGAAGAGAAGAGAATCATTGAATTGCAGAGTTGGAAGGGACCCTGAGGGTCATCTAGTCCAACCCCCTACAATGGGTTGTTGTTTTTTAAGGCAAGATGGCACTGCCACCCAAGAAGGTGTCAGCAAACATGGGCAAACCACAAGGTTTACAGGGGTACAACTTTTGTTGGGGGGGGATGGGTGGACACCTAAAGGGAGGGGGAGCCCCCAAAGCAGACCCATTTGGACTGAGCACTTTGATAAAACTTTATTCGCATTAGCCAATGGCCATAGCAACAGTAAAACATTACAGTATACACAGAAAGGGAAATTTGATATAAGAGCACGATTCAAAGTCCTGAATCAGCAGTCAGTTAGTGGCCCTTATTCTGATGGCCCCTGCTATGAACCTAGCAACCTTTGCTGTTATCTGCTCATTTTGATCTGATAGAAGAAAGGACATCATAGCAGTGGCTGAGCGTCCTGGGATGGTTAGTACGAGTGGGGTGAGGATCTCGTTCCTCAGGTCTTTGTAGAGAGTGCAAGACAGGAGGACGTGTGCTGCTGTTTCGGTGCTACCATCTCCACTGGGGCAAAGACGTTTCTCAGGCGGGATCTTTTGGAATCGACCCTCAAGCACCGCAGATGGCAAAACATCCAGTCTTGCAAGTGTAAAAGCACGTCTGTATTTTGGGATAATAACTTTGTGCAGATATGGGGCCAGAGAATCAAAATGGAGAGGTGGAAACTGAACGTACCAAGGGCAGAATTTCCTTATAGTGGCCAGGTTGTTCTGATGATTGATATCTTTTAGACGTTGACCAATTAGACTGTTTGCTTTAGTGGGGCCCATAGCGAGTAGGTGTTGTGGGGATAGGCCACAAGAGGGAAGTTTTTGATAGAGGGTTTTAAGCCAGACATTTGGACTGAGTATGTGAGGTGGCTGTCGAGGGAGACAAACAGAAAACCAGATGGGCAGCGGAACCCAATGGAGTGTCATGCAAGTGGACCATTAATTGCAGCTTCACTAATAGCCATGTAGAGACTTGGGGAAAAACAGCAACAAGACTCAATAGAGCCAATGGAAGTTTTCTTGATGGTTCTGCGGACTGGAGGGGTTTTAGAGGCACGTCGGTGACATGGCAGGGGTATCAGCCAAGCATCAATCACCATGCGGCCCTCAAGAGGACTCTGTGTGGACCTTGGAAACCTCCCCAGGACACACCCCTCCCCGGCTTTGCTTCGCCCCTTCCGTCTAATATTAAATTTTATTGAAATAATTTTGATTATATATAAATAAAGTGATACAGAGGGGGGAAAGTGGGGAAAGTGAGGGGTGGGGGAGTAGAAAGATGTGTATATTCCTAGCTGGGAGTGAATGGAGGACAGTGGGATGTTGTGTGTTAATTTCCTAAAGTTATATTCTGCTCAAAGCAGTCTGAGCGTGGGCGGAAATTATCCTGCTGTACTCAGGTATAGCCTATGGCTCTGTGGCTCCACCCACTTTTCCCACTGGCTCCGCCCACTGCTGGCAGGCGGCCCCTAAGAGGCTGCCAAGAAAGGAATCTGGTCCTTGCATTCATGAAATCTACTGTCGTTGTGGAGGAACCCTTCCCCTGGACCATCCCTAGCTGGGCTTATGATTTCATCTCCCGTGTTTCGTCTTGCAATCTTCAAGGAGATCTTGGGATTCGAGCAAAAGGAGAATGTGGAATAGGCAAAGTTGAGCCTTTAAAAATAATAATAATAATAATAATAATCTCTTTCTGTTTCTGGGCTTCTAACCCCCTTCTCCTCCCTTCCCAACTGCAGCTCGTGGAATATCTCAAACTGAAACCGGATGGCCTGATCTATTATTTGAGGGAAAGCACACCGAATCCCGATATGCCAACAGGTGAGACCCCAATATTTGCCACCCGGAAAATATTGGAACTACTTTCAGGTGCAATTCAAGAGTTGTTGGGTTGTTGTTTTTTTGGTTTTTTTTACATTTAGTGAACTTTGTTAAATAGGGCCTAGTTTCTTTAAAAACATATATGAATTTTTCATTTTTATTTATTTATTTTTTCAAGTTTTGATTTTATTGGGCAAATTCGAAAAGTGACATATCATAGAATTTACACTGAATATTGAAAAGACCAGAGAAGGTCACAAAAAAACAAAACAAAAACAGTAATAATTTTCCATTTTGATAAAAATATTGATCATCTTCTGTTCTATTATTCTAAATTTGTATCTTTATACATGGCGTCCCATCTGCACCCAATGTACATACCTTTTTAGAACACCGATCATACTAAAATAAATTTCATATTTCATTAAAGTTCTTCATATACCTAAAGTCTTTTTTAAAAAAAACTAAACCTTACGTCTTGTTTTATTCCCCACATTATATTATATTATTTACACAGAAATCATTCAAACGCTACCATAGCCACCACACCGTGATTGTAATTCTGTAAATATTTTTTAAACATGTCCCAGGGAAAAAAAGGCGGACATTCAGCCCTTGTATATCAACGGGGAACGGGTGGAGAGGGTGGCGGAATTCAGGTTTTTGGGAGTAACTATCGATCAGGGCATGACTTGGAGCGCACATACCACTGCTCTGGTGAAGAAGGCCCAGCAGAGAATTTATTTCCTCAGACTTTTAAAGAAGAACAATCTGAGTGAGAGACTGCTGGTGTCCTTCTACCGAGGCTCCATAGAGAGCATTCTTACATACTGTATTTGTGCTTGGTTCTCCAGTTGTACAGCTAGGGAGAGGAAGGTGCTCCAGAAGGTCATAACCACAGCCCAAAGGATTATTGGTCATCCTCTCCCATCTTTGGAAGAACTGTACGGTTCCCGTTGTCTTAGGAAAGCAAATAACATCCTGCAGGATTCATCTCACCCGGGACACAGTCTGTTTGCACTACTGCCTTCTGGCAGGAGATATAGAAACATCAAGTCAAAGACAAATAGACTGAAAAACAGTTTCTATCCAAGAGCTGTGGCCTTTTTGAATGCTGTAACTCGATAGTGTGACCTGGGAGTTTGATGGGTGTTGGTGTGGGTGTGGCTGGAATGTGGTTTGTTTGGTTGTTGTTGTTGTTTTGCTTTTGTTGTTTTAAGGGATGGCATCCAATTTCGTTGCACTTTGTGCAATGTTGCACTTGTGTAATGACAATAAAGAATCTATTCTATTCTATTCTATTCTATTCTATTCTATGTGCAAAAATTAACTGCAAAATTATTAAACTTGTCAATGTGAAGTCAGCACTTCTAAATACGCTCTTAGAATCCAGTCAAGTTTTCACAAGAAATTATGTTCTTATTGAGAATGTTCGTCTCTTCGCAACACCCACAGTTCCCAGGATTCTTTGCGCAGGTGAAAAAATTTGCATTGGATTAAATCTAGATTAAGTCTAGATTAAGTCGGCGTTTCCGTGTGCTGCGCTGCTGCTGGCTCGTCAGAGCAGCTTCGTCACACTGGCCACGTGACCCGGAAGTGTCTTTGGACAGCGCTGGCTCCCGGCCTCTTAAGCGAGATGAGTGCGCAACCCTAGAGTCGGACACGACTGGCCCGTACGGGCAGGGGTACCTTTACCTTTACCTTAGATAAAGTCTCCAGTGTAATTTTAGCTAAAGGCAATATTGGAAAGCACTGGCACTCCGCAGGGTAAACAGAGGAGCCTACAATTCTATGATTCTAACTTTCCATTTGTTAAGGAAGGAAAATTCACATCAGTTCTCAGCTTTAATTGCTTTCGGTTTCCGCCAAATAAAATAAAGGACCTGCAGAATCTGCCATCCTACTGAACTTTCTTCCTAATAATATGAGGTTGCTCCTCTTGCTAAAGGCACCCATGTGATGGGCAATGCTTAGACATGTAAAGTTGATTAATTATACCATGAAACCATGTAAATGAAATCAGTTTTTATTTCAGATCTGTGACAGTATGTATGTAAGTATGTTTAGGGGGGTTTATTTGATGTTTCTCTCTTTTGGTCATTGAACTCCAGTTGTCAAAAGAACATGGCCCCATCTTCCGCATCCAAATGGGATTCCAGAAAATGGTGGTGCTGACAGGGTATGAGACAGTCAAGGAGGCTCTGGTGAATCAGGCGGACGCATTTGCAGAGAGACCCACCATCCCAATTTTTGAGGACCATGCAAGGGGCTTTGGTGAGGCCTTTCCTTCTGTATAATAGCTTGTGCTGTTTGTGAAATTTAGGTATCATAGCAATATAGAATCTGTGCCAAAAGTTTCATAGAACTGATTGTTAGTTTCAATTACAGCTTGGAGGACAGCCTGCCAATCGACCAGTGTAGCTGCAGCCATTGGATGGATAATGTCAGATGTCTTTGTCACTGCCAGCAAAAGAGTAGTGTTGAGGGAATAGGAGAATCTGGTCATAAGATAATGTACCATTACATCTGAAGGGCCGTAAACTCCCTGTGCAATTGTGTTCTGAGGGTACAACCCATAGGGATGCTGCTGTTCTGGAGAGTGTGTGTCCTATCAGAGGCCAGATGAGGGACCAGCTGAGAGGCATCCTCAGTTCCACAGAAGAAGGGTGAGATAAGCCCAAACATATTATCGTGGCCATGATAACTTGAAACTTGATCTCTGCTCTTCAGGTGTTGTTTTTTCACATGGTGAAAACTGGAAAGCGATGCGGCGGTTTTCACTAAGCACATTACGGGACTATGGCATGGGGAAAAGGTCCATAGAGGACAGAATTGTGGAAGAATGCAGTGTCCTGATTAAGACATTTGAATCTTACCAAGGTGGGTTAGTGTTTCCCTCTACTGCTCCAGGGCAAAACAACACTACATTAGATGCCCACAATATTGTGTTATATACATATTGCTAACTCTCAGAACTATAGTAACCAGGATTCCCTGTGAAGAGGTAACCAATCTGCAGTGTTCAGGTCAGTGTGAGGTAATGCTGGCCTCTGTCCCTCTTTCCTGTCCTCCCTCCTACGATCCCCTCTCGCATCTCTGCCTCCCAAAGGCTTGCACAGCTGTTTGTTGCAGCAGCCCTGGCTACAAGCTCCCCAAGTGAACGGTGCCTTTGTGGCTGGCCAGGGGGTGCTGGTTCCCAGGAGCTGATGTGGTTCAGCCAGTCCACCAGCCCTTGATGTTGGGAATGGACAGGCAAGTGGGAGGCTGGGCAGGCAGGCACTGCACTGGCCTTTATTGTGCTTGCTGTGTGCAAGGCCTGCCTGGGAGCTGAGTGTACAGTGCCAAAGGGAGCCTTTTCCCCATTCAGGCCTGGTGGCGCCCACTGCTACCACTGCTGCCTCCCGAGGCATGTAAAGGTGCTGGCTTCACATTCACCTTCATCCAGTCTCCGTCAGGCCACTAAGGCTGGGGCATTGTCTTCCTAGGCCCTTGTGGGGCAGCATGAGGAGGCACCTCTCTTTGGGGCAGGGGGTGGCTCAGAAACCAGGGGTGGCTGTGGCGGCTGCCTAGAGGACTCCCAAAGAGAGGGAAGAGGAGAGTGGCTGAGGGAACACTTCATGAGGGAGGGTGTTTGAAAAAGGGTGAGAGGCCACTGTCTCTGCAGGCAAGGGGTGTCATACCGGTAACTGGCTCCTGAGGCTTGGAGTGCATTTACCCCATAGGAAACCACAGAAATGATGTAGCTGGTCAAGGGAGTCATGGACTCAAAAAGGATGAAGACCTCTGCTTAGGTATATACTGCCCATGACTCTTTTTAGCGATGCTTAACTCAGATATCTTCAAGTACACCAGAATTTAGGATCAGTTTCTAAAATAAATGTGCTCAATACATCGGTAGGAACCTAACACAGAGAAGAGCAATTCTACTTGGTATTTTATCTGAGCATTGTTTAATATTTATGTATAGGACAACCATTTGAAACCACCACAATTATGAATGCCGCTGCTGCCAATATCATAGCATCCATCCTACTAAACAAGCGATTTGAATACGAAGACTCCACATTTAGAAAACTTCTAAAGATGGTCAATGAAAATATCCGGCTTTTTGGAAGCCCCTCTGTCATGGTAATCTAAGCTTTTTCAAATGGAAAAGAAATAGTTGGTTGTATTCACTGAATACTCAATGTGGGTGCAATTCCATATTGTTCAGGATTCACTTAAAAACTCATTTTGAGAAATATGACTCGCTTTCAGACCATTTTAAAAAAGCAGTCTTCCCCCCATTTATTATTTTCATTCATATAATTGGATATTCTGCTTAAAATATAATAGCTAGATAACTTAAACCATAATTGACTTTTTGTATACAGTATTGATGCCCCTGGCCACTACTGGTCTAAGTATATGGTCTTGTCCACATCTGAGCAAACTGCTAATCCACAAATACAAGGGGGCTCCATAACTACAACAGCACGTAAGAAAATGGCCTCCAGCCTTGGCCTCTAAGGGATATTGACTCAACGCTGCTCCAACCCAAATACATTATTGTTCTGTATCATTGTTTATTCCTCTGTGGAAGATGAGATATTTGGAGTACCACCTGAGAATTAAGCACTGGGCTTTACTCTTTGTCATATTTTATCCTTACAGCTGTATAATGTATTTCCTGCTCTTGGCTCGTTTTTGGGAGTTCATAAGACTCTCCTTCACAACAGAGATGAGATGCATGCCTTCATAAATGCCACCTTCATACAACACCTCAGAGATCTGGATGAAAATGACCAAAGGAGCTTCATTGATTCATTTCTTCTGAGACAGCAAGAGGTAATGGAGTCTTTTAAGCCCACCAATAATTTTTTTTTTATATTTTCAAATGTTAATAATAATAATATAAAGCTTTGGCTAATATCTGGAGTCTGTGACCTGATAGCTTGCAGGGCTGTTTTCCACTCGGACTCCCACTCCTCTCAAAAGACAAAGAAAAAAACCACCTTTGAGATACAGTAGTTCAGTTGGTTGGAACACGTTGCTGCGTACGCCAAGGTTGCAGATTCGATCCCTGTAAGGGACAGCTGCAGTCCTACACCGCAGATGTTTGGAACAGATGATCCTCAGGGTCTTTCCAACTCTATGATTCCATGATTCCATGACTAGTCCAACACATCATGCTCCCCCCCCCAGTATTTCTCTTGCACCATGCTCCTTTCTTCTGCCTGTGACATGCTTTCATGGAGAAAAGAGATTTGAGTGTGCTGGCTGTGTACGATTTTTCTGCTTTCCTAGACAGCTTCTCTGTTCTTTCCATTCCAGTGAGTGCCCTCCCAGCCCTTGGCTAGCTACTTTGATATCTGCACATGGAATTTGCTCATCACCTTGTTATAGCCAACTCTTTCTCTTACACCCCAGGAGAAGGACAAGCTGGATGGATATTTCAACACTGAAAACCTAAAAGCAGTTGTGAGTAACTTATTTTCTGCTGGCACAGAGACCACTGCTACCACACTGCGCTGGGGACTGTTACTAATGATGAAATATCCTGAAATTCAGAGTGAGTGCTTTTCATTGCGTTGGCTCCCATTACCCTAGCTAGCATATCTTGATTCCAGTTATAGATAACTATCTGGGGGCCCGGGAAGCTGGGGGGCTGAGCCCCACAATTCTCAATGAGGGGGACGGCCCCCCTCAATATTCCACAATACGGTGGGTCTTGTTGGGCCTAGTTTCAATGTGTGACATCACACATGTCAGCCCCCCCAAATGTTGGGTGTAATCAAGCATGCATGTTTCTGACTTTCGCATCCTACATAACTATAAGCAAATTGTATATTTCCACTAAAATTCTCAGGTGCATAGCGTCTTCCACAATTTTGCATTATGTTGTGAGATTGTGCTCATAGATCAGGCAGTCCCATTGCATAATTACCTGTCAGTTACTCCAGGAAATGTGAAGATATGAGTTGGTGGCAAAAATAAGCTTTTGAGTTTGGCATTTGGGGGGTGGGGACAAAAAAAAACCACCAATGAGTTTATTTTAACAAAAAAATTCCCCCTCCACTGCCCCCAGGTAAGGTCCAAGAAGAAATTGCAAAGGTAGTTGGATCTTCTCAACCAAGGATTGAGCACCGAACGAAAATGCCATATGTAGATGCAGTGATCCATGAGATCCAGAGATTTTCTGACGTTAGCCCAACAAATCTGCCACATGCAACCACTGTGGATGTTACCCTCAAAGGCTACTTCATTCCAAAGGTAACCACTTTGATTAAATTGCATTCTTTGCTCAGCTGACTGCGATCAATTTCTTCATTAATTAGGACATTGGAGCCCCAGTTCCCTAGTCTGGGCCTACTTGCTTCTTCCTTCCTCGCTGCATACAGGTCTTTATTGAGTTATCCCAGAAAAGTTGGGCAAGGGGCTCAGTCAACTATTCTCTTAGTCCAGTCCAGTTCTGCTGGATCTCTCAGCGGCCTTTGACACCATCGACCACAACATCCTTCTGGACTGTCTAGAGGGGCTGGGAGCTGGGGTCATTGTTATTCGGTGGTTCCACTCCTTCCTCCTGGGCCGTGTCCAGAAAGTGGTGTTGGGGGATGAGTGTTCAGACCCCTGGGCTCTCACTTGTGGGGTGCCTCAGGGTTCCATCCTCTCCCCCATGCTTTTTAATATCTATATGAAGCCGCTGGGAGAGATCATCAGGGGGTTTGGGCTGGGTGTTCATCAGTATACAGATGACACCCAGCTCTACCTCTCCTTTAAATCAGAACCAGTGAAGGCGGTGAAGGTTCTGTGTGAGTGCCTGGAGGCGGTTGGAGGATGGATGGCGGCTAACAGATTGAGGTTGAATCCTGACAAGACAGAAGTACTGTTTTTGGGGGACAGGGGGCGGGCGGGTGTGGGGGATTCCTTGGTCCTGAATGGGGTAACTGTGCCCCTGAAGGACCAGGTGTGCAGCCTGGGAGTCATTTTGGACT